TCCCCAATAAAAAAATCTTAAAAAAAAGAACAATCAGAAAAAGACTATAAAATAAGTATATTTAAAACAATTGAGGAGACCAAAGAAAAAAATAGAAATCATAAGGAAATACCAAGAAACCATGCATATAGGACAGGTAGATTTGAACTATCATAACTTTTATAAATGAGCAAAATAGATAGAGCCATTAAAATTTACAATGTAAACGGTGAGGTAGACATTAGATTAACAGAGCTAGAGAAAGACTAAGTGAACAGAAAGACAAGCCTGAGGAAATCACCAGGATGTAGCACAGATGAATAACGCACTAGAAACTATGAAAGAGGAGTTAAGAGACCAGGAGGCCAGAAATGAAAATGTCCAACATATATAAGAAAGAAGTTCTAAAGGAAAGGATGGAGAAAATGTGGGCATGCAATATCGAGAACATTTTTGGCTGAGAACTTTTCAGAATTAAAGAAAAACCTTAATCTTCAAAAGAAATAGCACATCAAACTTCCAAACAGATAAGTGAAAATTAACCCATCTTTAGACACTTTATGTTAGACATGCAGAAAAACAAAGACAAGAGAAAATTTTAAACACAGCTAGAGAGAAAAAAACAAATACCTAGAAAGGGAGGATAATTAGGCTGATGGAGAAGTTCCAATACCAAGAGAAGCCAGAAGACAGAGGCATGGTACCTTCCAAGTGCTAAGAGGAAATAACTGTGAATTTAAAATCCTGTTTGTAGCTAAGCTATAATTCAAGAGCAAGGGTAAAATTAAGAGATATTATGACACAGGCTTAGAGATTTTTTTATTCATGGGCCCATCCCAAAAGTAACACTAAAGAATGTACTTCAGGAAAAAGGAAGTTAAATCAACAAGGGTGAATGAAATGCAAGGAGCGATGGTGAGCAGATAAACACATAAACTTGTGGGTAAATATAAATAAGCACTGACTTATTAATAAATAACAAATATAATAATAATGACCACTGGGGGAAGTTAAAGATAGGTGGAGCAAAAATATTGGTCAACAATACATGGAAGATGGAAGAGAACGGTGGATGTTAAAACATCTTAGGATCCTAAAAATTTTTTTTTTAAATCTTAGGATCCTTATTTTGTTCTGTTGGAGAATAGAGACATTCATCAACTTTTGAGTTTGTTAATCCATAGGTCAATGTTAAAATGTAAGGGTAATGGTGAGGCATATTGTGCGCATGGATTGGCATATTCAACTTAGTAATCATGTCAAGTCTCCCCACATTGATCTATGAACGTCATGCCATTCTAATGAACATTCCAGAAGGATTTTTTAAACTATAGACAAGCTGATTTTAAAATATATATGAAAAGGCAAATGCGTAAGAATATATAGAACAGTTTTGAAAAGGAAGAAAAAGTTGGAGGAATCACACTACCTAATTTTAAGACTTAACTATAAAGCTGCAGTAATAAAGACAATGTGATATTGGCAAAGGACTAGACCTAAAGATCAGTGGAACAGAATAGAAAGTCTAGAAATAGACCCACGCAAATATGATCAATTGATTTTTTATAATGGTGCAAAAACAATTTCATGGAGAAAAGATAGTTTTTTTGACAAATGATGCTAAAACAATTTAACAACTGTATGCAAAAAAGAGAAAAAACCTTTTAGAAAACTAACTCAAATGGATCATTGATCTAAACGTAAAACTATAAAACCTTTAGAAAAACACATAGGCGAAAATCTTCCTGACCTGAGATTAGGCAAACATTTTTATGTGGCACCAGAAGCGTGATCCATAAAAGAAAAAAAAAAGATAAATTGAATATCATCTATATTAAAAACTTTTGCTTTGCAAATGACACTGTTAAAAGAGTGCAAAAGAGGAGCTAAAGACTGGGAGAAAACATTTGCAAATTTTATATCCAATAAAGAATTTATATCCAGAAGTTATAAAGAACTCTTCAATTCAACAAGAAGAAAACAAATAGCCCAATTAAAAAATGGGCAGAAGACTTAAACACTTCACCAAAGAGAATATACAGATGAGAAACAAGCACATAAGAAGATGTTCAACATCATGAATTTCTATTTACACAAAAACCTGTACACAAATTTTTAAGGCAGTTCTATTTGTGATAGCTATAAACTGGGAATAATCTAAATGTCCTTTAACAGGTGAATGGATAAACAGTGGTACATCCATACAATGGAATACTACTCAGCAATAAAAAAGAATGAATTACTGATATATGTGACAACTTAGGTGATTTCAAAGGTGTATGCTGCATGAAAGAATCCAGTCTCAAAAATATTACATACTATATGTTTCCATTTATATGGTAGTCTCAAAACCACAAAACTATAGTGATGGAAAACGGACCAGTGGTTGCAATGATTGGGGAGAGTATGACAATAAAGGAATAGCATGACAGATTTTTTGGAGTGAAGGAATTGTTCTGTATTGATTGTGGTAGCTACACAAATCTATTACTGTGTTCAAATTTATAAAACTGTATATCACCCCTAACAAAATGTCAGTTCTACTCTCTAATAATTTTTTAAATGTTTCAACATAAGGATAACTAATCATGTATAACTTCCAAACCAGTAGAAAGAAAAAAGTTGGACTAAAGAAATAGGACATGACACAAAAAGGAGGAAAAGTATATGGATAAGCAATGATCTTAAGCACACCAACTATGGAAGAATAGCTACCTCTGGGAAAGAAGTGAAGAGCCGAGAGGGAGTTCATATCTTATTTCTTTTTAAAAAAAGAGGTATCTAACAACCCAAGTGTCCATCAACAGGTAAATAGGTAAATAAAATAAATAGGTAAATAAAATATGGTATACCCATAAAATGGCCTATTACTCAGCCATAAAGAAATGAAGTTCTGATATAGGCTACCACATGGACAAACTCTGAAAACATTATGATAAGTGAAATAAGCCAGATATAAAAGAACAAATTTTGTATTTATATGGAATATCTAGAATGGGTAAATTCATATAGACAGCAAGTAAATTAGAAGTTACCAGGGGCTGGGAGAAGGGAGAATGGGAGTTATTGCTTAATGGGTAGAGTTTCTGTTGGGGTTGATGGAAAAATTTTGGAAATAGTGATGACAGTTGCATATCATCATGAATGTAATTGATACCACTGAATCGTACACTTAAATTGGTTAAAATGGCAAATTTTATGTTGTGCATATTTTACAATTAAAAAATAATATACTAAAACCATTGAATTGTACACTTTAAATGGGTGAACTGTATGGTATGTAAATTGTGTCTCAAGAAATTTGTTAAAAAGAAAAAGAAAAGAAAAAAAAGAGGTATCTGAAGGAAAACTGATAACTTAATGGTCAGTATATAAGTGTCTGTTATATTATTTTCTTTACTTCGGTATAGTTAGAATTTTTCATATTAAAAAATAAAATAATGTTTAAAGAGAAGAGAACTCTTATTCAGTGTTATTTAACTTTGTGTTTATGAATTATATAAAGTCCTCACATATCTCTCCCTGGCATGGGGCATACTGCTAAGAACCAGAGGCCCTGGGTCACAGAAGGGCCACTTGTCTAGGAATCAGGAGGCCTGAGTGTGTCTCTCCCTAACTAACCGGTGTCCTTGGGAGAATTACTGGACATCTTCAAGGCCACATTTTCATCTTAGACTTCATCTCTCCCCTTCACAGGTGTCCATGGGAATCAAATGAAATCACAGTGTAAGTTCATTGTAACCTGAAGAATGATGGACAGATGTGCAAATGCCAGGAAGTGTTAAATACAGGATTAAACATGGAGAAAGTCCACAGACCCCATCATGCTTTGACCCTCCTCCCAAGCCCATCACAGGCACCACTCACAAATGTCCCCACTTGTGTGCAGTGGATCGTTCCTGCCACGAAGCACAGAGAATCATAGGGGAGGTGAGCCACCAGCTGCACACTCCATTCTCAGCAAGCCAGAGCTAGGACAGCTGCTCCACAGCTCCATATAATTCTGTATGTTCTGACTTTCAGATGTGTTTTTAGGGAGAAACAAAACAATAAAAAGCCAAGAAAACCTTCTGGTGGGAGACGACAGCACAGCCCAGGGTGGTATCCATTCCCCCAGGAGCATTGCCACCAGCGCTGAGATGCGCTCTCATTCCTTAGCCCCTCGGAGCAGGGGTTGGAGGCCACTTACCTACATTGGCCAAGGTGTACTGGTAGGGCTGTGACAGGAAGTGTGGGAGGGTGAGGACGAAGGCACCCGAAGCTAGCAGGAGACCCCCAATGCCAATCAGCTGTGGACGGTGCACCCGGCTGCCAAAGTAGCTGACAAAGATGATGAGGATGGCGTTGCTGATCTGCAGGAAGAGCAGAGGGGCCGAGTGAGACCAGAGACTCGTCCTCACCCACCCACAGTGGAGACCTGACTGTTACCCTATCCAGGAAAAGCAGAGAGGCCAGAGGCTTCCAGGGGCAACCAGGACCCAGGCAGAGTTCCAGTGTCAGCTTTGCCCAGACAGCCTTGCAGAGGGCCAAGCACATGCACACCCCTGTTGTCCAAAACCCTCCTCAGTCTCAGCCTTCGAGACCAGACCAAGGGGAGTGTCTAGAGATGATGAAAAACTCACAGCCTTAATTTCAACCATCTTAGGAGCAAATGTTTGGGGGTAAAAATCTAAGGATGCCTGCAATCCTGGCTGGCTCCTAGGAGTAGCTCATGTTCCCTAATTAACCTTCCCAAGGAGCTGAGCATGGTAGTCAGAATAGCCACCAAGCAACATGCACTGTCTTGTTTCATCATGCAACAACTCTCATTTTACAGACAAAATTGGGGATCGGAATATTAAGTAATTTGTCCACATCCATGAGGTTAGGAGGTGGCTTGAACAGGGATTGCCCGAGTCTTAACTAGGCTGGTCTACTCCCTCTTCAAGGGGGTTTCTGCCCCAGCAGCTTTGCTACTAACCTGCCCCAGCCCTCCATGGACTTTCTTCCACTTTTCTCAGTGAGGGGCGAGAACTAAAGCACACCTAAGTCTCTCCCCAGCTGGACACATCAGTAACTCCGTGTTCCTGCTGCTCCTTGGAAGGTGTGCCCTCTGAGCTTCACACAGAGCCAGTGAAGGGAAGCAGAGTCTTAAATGGTAAAAGATGATGCTGACCATGACTCCATCCAAAGACATGACCCTCTGGCCCAGAACATAAACTCGCCTGGACTGGAGGAGCCCTGAATGTCAGTATCCACAGCCCCCGCCCTATCCACACTACAGTCTCCCTCTGGCTGGAAAAGCAGGAGCCCATGTCAGGAAATAGGGGCTCTTGCCAAGATCACGAACACCTCCTCATTGCCAAATCCACTGGTCAGTTCTCTTCTTACTTGATCCCTCAGCACCATTTGATTCAGTTGACCGTTTCTTCTTGCAACACTTCTTTCACCGAGTTCCCATGACACCACCTTCTCCTAGTTTCCTTCCCCTGGCTGCTCCTTCTCGGCCTCGTTGGCTGGTTCCTCCTCATCTCCCTGAACTCTCAACTCTCAGAGCTTAGTCCCTGCATCTCTGCTCTCATCGTGATGAGCTCATCCAGGCCCATGGCTTTACATGTTTCTATATACGTTTCTAATTCCCACAGGCTTAGCACGCCCCAAATCTCACTCCTCATTTTTACCCTGGAAACCTGGTCTCCCCTCCCCAGACCTCCTCATCTCAGGAAATGGTAACTCCATCTTACTAGTGGCTCAAGCAAAATAACTGAGCATCATCTTTAACTGCTCTTTCACATCTACACCCACCGGACCTCCAATAGGCACCCATAAGCCAACCACTTCTCACTACCTCCATTCCTGACACCCAAGCCACCAACATATCCTGTCTGAGTTATTGTAGTTGCCTCCTAACTGGGCTCCTGGCCTCCTGGCCTCCACTCTTGTCTCACTGCAGTCTATTCACCCAGCAGCCAGAGTCGTCCTGTTGAAACATCAGACCATGTTCCCTCGCTCAAACCCACAACTGTAAAAGGCAAAGTCTGTCCCAAAGCCGGCAGAGCCCTCCCCCTTCCCTGCTACTGCTCTCATCTGCTCTCCTACCTCTGCCTCTCCCGCTCCCTCCATTCCAGCCACCCTGCCTCCAGCTGTTCTTTAAACACAGCACCTTTTGCCCTCCTCAGGCCTGGGAACTTGCTGCTCCCTCTCCCTCTTACACGTCCACAGGCTCCCCTCTTATCTAACCTACTTTAGATCTCTGCTCAGATTGAACATTCTCATTAAGGCCTCCTCTGAAAAAGGAGGGTAGGGATGGGTGAAATGGGTGAAGGGGGTAAAAAGGCACAAACTTCCAGTTATACAATGAATAAGTCATGAGGATGTAATGTGCAGCATGGTGACTATAGTTAATAATGCTGTATTGAATATTTAAAAGTTGCTAAGAGAGTAGATCTTAATAGTTCTCATCACAAGAAAAATAATGGGGCCGGCCGAGTGGCGCGTTGGTTAAGAGCTGGCTTGGGATGCCAGAGGGCCCCAGTTCAGATCCCACATATGAGGGCCAGTGACACTGCCCTCTACAGCTAAGATGCTGAACAACAGCTCAACCTGGAGCTGGGCTGCTGTGAGTCGCTGGCAACGGCGTAGGCTGCAGCCCCTGTGGCAGTGGGTTGCCATGGGCTAGCGTGAGCAGCCAGCAGCCGCAGTGAGCGGCCGTCCAGAAGCCGGCGACTGATCTGCCTCGCCCGGGAAGAGCACAATGATGGTGCCAACTTGGGCCAGTGAAGCAACGTCCTCCACAACTAGACTGAAGAACAAAAGGATAGCAACTTGTCTGTTCCCCTTCCCCACTTCCCCAGCACTGTTCCCATCCCCCCAATTCCCCAATAAAAATCTTTTTAAAAAAACAAGAAAAAAATGTATAACTATGTGAGGTCCTGAATGTTAACTAGCCTTATTTTAGTAATCATGTCACAAGATATACAAATAATCTTTATGTTGTACACCTGATACTAAAGTTAAATATCAAGTATAGCTCAATAAAAAGGAGTTATTGAAATATTACTTATATTTATAATAAACAATAATTAAGTTATAGTTTAAATACAATATATATTCTACATTATATTTAATAATTTAAATTTATTTAAATATGCTTATAATTTAAATATAATTTAAAGTATAGTTATTTAAAATATAAGCACCACTCCCCCCACAACTTTATTTTTCTTCATAGCACTTATTGTAATCTGATCTACCATTAGTTTTATTTACTCCTATAAATGTCATATTTATCATTAGAATGATATATGGGCAGATTTTCATCTGTCTGAAACAGGAAACAACGCCTTATTCTTAAGCTTCTTAGATTGTATTTTCTTTTTGTTTCTTCATAGTTTTATACAAGATGATTGTAAACATTGGACCTTATCAGCTAGGCTAACAGGCTGACTTTAAAAGGTCAGGGTGAGGGATGGGGGAGGGCCCCAGAGGGGCTCAGGGAGGAAGGACTGGGGTCCCCACCCATCTGGGGAGGCCCTTCCAGCACTCTCCCAGGGCCTGTGCTTGTTTCTCAAGGGACGTGAGAACCTCCACAGCTGTTATGACCGACGCTGGCTTAAGACCTTGGTTCCCAAACTTCTCTTTAGCAGTGGAGATCCTTTGAAAAGACAAGTTTTCTTAAATATATTTTTTAAAAATAAAGCTGTCCTAGCTGATGAAGCCCCTGCAGTCCATCCCTCAGCCTTGAAGTGGCCCCTAAAAGAGCTCTGTGGACTTCCTATTAGACCATCTGAAAGTTGTTTCAAAGCCCATTTGTAACACATACCTGTCCATCAAGGTCTCAAACCAAAGAGGCTCCAGGGCAATTTCACGAGAGGCATTAAGGGTGGGGGTTCTCTAGGACTCCCACTGACTTTGTCTGCTCAGTCCTGGACTACAGATTCGAGCAAGAAAAGCCTCTGCTTCACAGGACATGATGCCTGAAGTCTTCTCTGCTAGCCAAGTTCCTCCTCCTGCCCCTGGTCTTTTATACCCAGCCATTGGCTCCCCTTCACCTCACCAGCTGGGCCCCATAAGGCTTTGAGCCTGGGCTGCAGCCTGAAAACTCATGCCTGCTGGGGGCTGGCCTGGCCACACACCAGGCACAGATGGCCTCGCCTTCCCCTCCACCAGGCCTGGTTCTCTTCTCACATCCCTTAGGCTTCTGACAGGCAGCCTCCTCGTGGGAGGTAATGCCTTCAATCCTGCACTCCAGCAACTGCCAAATCCTGCTTTCTTTTTTCTTTTCAAGTATCGCAGGGGTGCATCTTCTCCCCCAACTTCTCAAGCCTGGCTTAGTGGCAGAGCCTCCCAGCCAGCCAACATCTGGATACACTGTCTTTCACCTTTAGTTGCCTCTTCCAGAGAGTTCATCTTCATGAGACTGTTCATCATGCCCCAGCTCTGCTCAAAAAGCCATTGCCTACCACAAAAGCTGGGAGCCTTGAGCCTGACCATGAATGTCCCCCCGGATTTAGCTGCCCTCTGCTCTCCTGATAAGGCCCTTACTTTACTACTCCATCAGTTTCTAAATGCCTGGGTCAGAATTAAAGGGGAAAGTAGAAAGCTCTTTGGCTAAAATCCTGTCCTACCTTCTCTACGCTGTACACTCCTGCACCCCCACCACAGACACAGACAGATATATACACATACTTACAGACACAGATCACAGATACATACACACAGTCATACCAAAGACACGCACACATACTTAGACACACACAGGCACAGACAGACAGACAGACACACACATATACTCGTAGTCACACACACAGGACTGTTAGGTCTGAGGAATGAACTTTCTTATGGTATTTGTCTCAAACCACACCCACGGCTTAAACCTAGATTGTCGAAAAGCTCACCTGAGTTTGAGAAAAAGAAGATGTAATGGGTGAATTATTTTCATTTTTTATTGAACTATAGCCTGGGGAAATATTATTTGCCTAATCAACCTCCTGTCATATACTCTGCCACATGTCACTGCTGGCTATTCCCTGTCCCTTGAAAAATCCAATTGTTCCTGGGCCTATGTTTTTGTTCCAAGCCTAGGCAAAAATATAAATGAAAATGTAACCGTGGAAGATCATAGATTTGGCTATCATAAGCTGTGATGGAAGAGAGGGTTACCTTACATGGCAGCTCTGACACTGATCAGTAGACGTGGCTAGAACACTGTGAGGAGGATTCAGAGTCTGGACTCGGCAGGAAAGGGGACTGTGGTCAATACTGATGCCTTCCAGGGTCATGGGATAGGACTGTAGTGACGCAAATGTCAGAGATTTGTTTTCCCTATGCCCTTCACGAGTGAGGACAACATGTGGCAGGGGCATTATCAAAGTCATAGGCCAATATTTAGGAGGGTTCATTCTGTGTGAGGGGTGCCAGGTCCCTGTCCTGTAGGAGAGTACAGCCTACATGGAGAGGTAGACCCCATCACTGGGCACCACTGGGCAGCTCCAGACGCATACTCAGCTAGACAGGAACACAGGTGCTCCATCTCTCTCTCTCTCTCTCTCTCTCTCTCTCACACACACACACACACACACACACACAGAGGGGGGAGAGAGAGAGAGAGAGTCAGAGAGAGCGAGCAGTAAAGGCATACACAGGGCCTGGAGTTCAGGGGCGAGGGTCTGAGGCCCATCAGGCCAACAGGATGGGCCATGGGACTATAAGTGTGCAGGTACGTGCATGTCACTGGTGCACTGTGTACACACATGTGGCCAACCTGGGATGGCTACTTAGGCTTCCTGAGGCAAGTTTCCTTGTCTGGAAAACATGAGTATGAAGAGATTCCCTCCTCCTAGAACTGCAGGGGGGACCTGGCATAAGGGAGGGGATCTTGAGGGGTACTGCTGTGTGAGCTATCGAGGGTAGAGGAGGAGTGAAGGGCAAAGAGGCAATACCAGCTGGAAGCAGGCTGGGGAATGGGGAGACTGAAAGGTGGTGGTTGGAGGGGGGCGGAGTTAGGAGACATCCCACCTTCTTTTATAGCTCCACCTTAGAAGCTATCATGGGGGAGCTCCAGTCTCTAAATTACTACATCTAATTTCACTAAGTCAAAAGAAGATCTAGTTATGTTCCAGAGGAACAACTGGTCTCCAGGGATGGGGAGGCCATTGCCGCCATCCCAGAATAGTGGGCCTCGTGGAAAGAGACGCGAGAAGCCAGGCCTGAGAGCCCCATCTCCTTGCCTGGAGCCACCAATGTAGCGGCCATGATGGAGGGGCTCTCCTGTCTCCCCTGCCTCTTTGTCACTGGCTTCCAGTGACTCCTAGCGGACCCTGCCTTCTGCCCTCCCACCCCCAGCCTCTCAGCCCACTCTGTCTTCTCTGACTTTGATGTACACTCATTGAGGGACTGTGAAATCCACAGTCAGAAGGTCATAGAGATCTAACCTTTCTGGAAATCAGAGCAATTGAGCAGCTCTGGCTCCCGTAACGCTCATAAGACAGAAGCTGCTGGGCCTGGGGCTGCTCTCCCACCTGTATTCCTGGGGTTCATCTACCCCTGGAGTGGGCGTGGGCAGAGGCCACATAAACTCATGGGTGATCACAGAACTCAGTTAGAGGCCCAGAGTTGGGAGGTGACAGCCCTGCCCGCCTGGGGCAAGCTGCTGCACTTGCTGAGACCCAATGTCCTCATCTCTCAGGTGGGAGGAGCAGAGCACCTGCTCACAGGGCTGGTTGAGAGGAGGCCCCAAGTCAGGCATCACCGGACACTCCCAGCTCAGTGCCTGGCGCAGGGACGCCTCAGGAAACGTGCTGCCTCCACCACTCCACCATGTCCATTGCATCTGGCTGTCTCCTTTCCCCAGGTGTCCACCCAGCTCCCATCCCTCTGTTCCTGCTGGAGCCCCCCACCCCAGCCCCAGACCCCACAGTCAGGATGCACAAGTGGGGTCAGACAGACCAGAATCTCCAGCTTACCTCATTCAAGCTGGAAATGAGACCCGAGGAAGAACTGGAGAGGCCAAAGCGCTTCTCGATGGTGGTGAGGCTGCTCTTGAAGTAGGCGCTGTACAGGAGCTGGCAGAGCTGCAGGAGGCCATGGCAGAGCACGAAGACCTGGGGAGACAGCTTGGTCCATCAGGCCCCTGGACAGTGAGCCCTGGCCACCCGCCTGGGCCTGCCATTCTGTTTCCTGTCTGTTTTCTCACCTGTTACTTGGGAACGCTGACTTTATCAGGTGGCCCTGAGGGTGAAATGCCATTATTATACCAGTTGGTGCATATCAGCTATTCCTATCATTGCTGTCATTCTTATCACTGTTGCTATAAATGGCCCTGTAAATCACAGGGTTGCAGAAGCAGGGTTGAAGAAGTCGGGGAAAGGCCTGACTAATCAGCAGCACCACTTGAATTATTCTCTGCAGGCGGCTGCTCCCTCCTGTGTCTTATGAGGGCTGAAGGTCAGTGTCCAGCCAGTTCAGGTCACTCCCAGGACCACTAACAAGCCCTAGGCCACATTGCTCCACTCCTCTTGACCTGGACTTCATTCCCCTGCCCCCAGCAACACCTCTCCAAGGTTCACCTCTAATACTCCAGTGATGCACCAAACCACCTGGTTTAAATGAATGCCCCCAAGTTTCTTATCAGGGGCATCTGTGGTTGTGCTGGCTCCTCCCCTGGCTGGATGATAAGGGCCTGGGAAGGTCCAGGCGTTGTCTCTGCTTCCTATCCTGCCCCATATACCTTGTCCTGTGGGCATGAGTAAATGTGAATGCTGTGGTTGATGGGGACAGATACACAGCAGGGAGGGTGGAGAGGGATCTGCTGAGCTCTGGGCCCTCCTGGGTTCTCAGCGGTTGGGCCAGGCCAGGGCGAGCTCAGAGCCAGCAGTCCCACATCCCTAACCCCCCTTCCCCCAAACGTGCCGCTCCTGGAGATTGCACTTTTCCTCCAGGGAAGGGTGGGGTGCTGTTATGTTTCATAGTCTGCCAAAGTTCCCTTAATTGAAGGGCTGGCTTCTCAGGAGAGCAACTGGGGCTCTACTTTCATTTCTGTTTCCTTGCAAAGCTGCTCCTACTGCCTCAGAGGAGTGAGGTGCCACATAAGCTCAGGGCAGGTGGCCGTTCCAGGCTGTGGGATCAGAGCTGATGTTTCCTTTCCTAGGGCAGAGGCTGTGTGAGTCCAGTCTGGGACTCTTGACAAGGCCCCGCACATCCATACTTGCAGCTTTGAATTCCCACCCCATCCATGAAACCAGACACCTCTCTAAATGGCAACCTGCCCTGAGCCTACATGGCCACCTCACTCCTCAGCAGTGGCAGAAGAATATCTGTCTACCTGAAAGCAGACAGCCCTCCCTAGGAAGGACCCATGCCACTTCATTTCAGAAATTGGAATTCTTAATATTTTGAGATAAGGTAATTCGTGAAAACAATCCAGCTTTGCTCTTTTTTACAAGTGGGGAAACGGAAGTCCAGAGATGGAGAACCCGAGCGCCTAGCATAGCAGCCTCTATGGAGCAGGCACTCTGGGCTTAGGCGCCGCCCATGAGATGCCCGAGCGGACAATTCTGGGCCTATCACACCATGGAGCACCCTCAGCCCGTTCCTGCCCTCCTGGGCCCTTGGTCTCCCCAACTGTGAGGTAACGGGGCTAAATCGGTGGGGGTTAACTCAGCTTTGATTCTTAATTACCCAGTGTGTGGGCGGAGTGTCTTTGCAGTATAGAGGCCAGGCCTGAACAGAATAAAAATGGGTAGAAGTAAAGCCCCAAGTGTGTCATTTGGAAAAGCTCCTCCAGCAGAATCTGATGCTGATCAAAGTGGGTTCCAACGAGACTGGGGGATGCATCCTGGCTCTGACCATTTGTGTGCACAGGGCAACATGTGAAGACTAGGAAAAGAAAAACAAGCCACAGACCGCATCTAATCTATAGGCGTTTCCACTAGAAGATGGAAAGGAAGACAGGAGTCATGGACCAAGTTAAGGGGAAAGCAGCACAAGATGGTGAGGGGGAGGCTGAGGATGTGCCCAGGTCAGATGGTTTTCCACAGACACAGGACATCAGAGCATTCTCAAGCCCTGAGTCCCTGGCCCAGGCCAAATTCAGGGAAGAGGCAATTTGATCTAGGGATGCCTTGCCAGATCCTCTTCTTGTCATCTCCTAGAGGCTAATGCCCCCCAAACTCTGTCTGTGGTCCCCTTCTCTGGACACGACATCCTTTCTGCACACACTCATTGGAAATCCCATTTGTAGTGCCCACATCTCACTGCCTCATCCAGAATTTTCCCCAGAGATTTACACTCAAGTCCACCCCACTGTCTGCTAGATGGGTCCATGTGGACACTCTTCGACCTCCTCAGACTAATCGCTTCCCAAATAGGGCTCATCATCCTCCCCCACAAACCTCTCCCGTTTTTCCCTCATGCTCCATCACCTTCACTCAGTTCCCCAAGCCAGAAACCTGGGATCCTCCTAGATGCCCCTGTTCTTTAACCCCTGGCATTGGGCACCATTGCTAAGCCTTGTGATTACTTGTTGGTGTTTCTCAGTCTTGACCTGCCCTTTATCTCCAGGTTATGCCTTGCCTCCAGGTTACTGAAATAGCCTGGATTGCTGAAATAGCCTCTGACAGGTCTCCTGTCTGCCCCGTCCAACCTTCCATCCCACCACCCCAGAAAGAGCTTCCTCAAACACAAATGTGAGCAGATGACACATAAATGAACACTTCTCTCTGGCTTCCTACTTCCTACAGGATAAAAACCAATGTCCTCAACACGGTGTCCAAAAAGCTACAGGTCCTAGACCAGCGGTTCTCAACCTTTCACAGGGGTCACCTAAGACCATCGGAAAACATATTTTCAATGGTCTTAGGAACCGAGACACCGCTCCTCTATCCGTCTCCAGGCCCACATGCAGATACGCCCACATACCAGTACCCGGTGACCCCGGTGAAAGGGTCATTCGACCCCCAAAGGGGTCGCGACCCACAGGTTGAGAACCGCTATCTAGACCTTGCCTGACTCTTTGGCTCCATACGCTGTTGTGGCTGATTGTATTTTACAAAGATGGCTACATCATTATCTCCTGTTCCACGTACACCTCTTACAATGTAACAATGATATTCCTTCACCGAAAAATGGGGTCTCTGTTCCCTCCCCTTCAATATGAACCCCTCTTAGCTACCTGCTTCTAATGAAGAAAATGAAGCAGAAATGATGCTGTGTGACCTCTGAGACTAAATCCTTAGAATCAATAAAGAATCTACCTGGCTCTTTTTCTCTTGGGATCCTAAGAACACAGATGTCACATCATAAGGAGAGGCCACAGGTTGGTGTTGGTTCCAGCTAAAGTTTCAGCCTACAGCCAGCATCATGTTATGGAGTGAGCCTTTGGAGAATTCCATCCCCAGCCTTCAAGGCCAAGTGGAGCAGACATGAGCACCCCCCACCAAGCCCTAGATAGATAGCAGGTTCATGAGCAAACTAAATGCATCATTATTTTAAGCACTAGTTTGGGCTCACTTTGTTACATAGCACTAGATAGCTGCAACACGTATTGCCACACACCTTGCCCTTCTAACTTTTTCAAGGTCATGCTACTCAAGTTCCTCACAGCACACATTCATTGTCTGTGTCCTTGATCACAATCTGCACAGAATCATCTTCCCCTTCTTTGTCTCGATAACTCTTCCTTGCCCTTCAGGGGCCCCCTCGCCCAGCAGGGGGCTCATTTATGCATGTGGTTCAAGGTTGCTTCTAAAAATCCCAGCGCCCTGTTGCTGACTTCCGCCCAGAGGCATCTTGATGGCTTGGTACAGGGCTGGAATTAAGGGCAGCACCCATCAGGGCAGTGAGGGCTGTCATAACAGCCTCTGGGAGACACAATGAGGGCTGGACCAGAGGTCAGGGCAGGGGACTCAGGGAGGGAGCTGATGAGGGCTCCTGCAGAGGTTGAGTTGACAAGGCTGTCATTCATTCAAGGTGGAAGAAAAGGGACAGTGTGCTAGCCTGAGGACCAGGAAGGGGACAAGGCTGTGTGTGGAGATGGGGGTCCAGGAAGAGAAGTGATTATGTAGAGAGATGACAGTGAGTTCAGTTTTGGCACACCTGAATTTCTGAGCATAAAGCTCAGAAAAGACCAGTCTCCCTTTAACTAAATTAGTAATGTTTTAACAGGAGTGACTAATCTCTACCAAATTCCCCAGCAGTCTCATGAGAGGAAGGTGAGGACAGTGGGAGAAAAAAATTCTGTCTCATGTCTTTCCCTGAAAGCATGCCTTTGCTCTTTTCAGTCAACACAGAAATCCCCTGTTTTCTCCCCCCAGATGCCAAGTGGAAGACTCCACCTAGAGTCAGCTGGCACCTTTCCACATTCCACACCCCTGCACAGAACCAACCTCATCACCAGCTCTTGGCCACTGAAGCCCAGTCAGGTCCGGGTGCCTTACGGGTGTCCTGGCTAAAGTGCTGGTATATATCTGGGCCCCCACGTTCCAGCGGACTCAGCAGATGGAGAGGAATGATATATGGTTGCAAAGGAGGGAAATGTGGGGAGAAAATGACAGGAGAGGAGAAATAAGTGGATGGATGGTTCCAGCACAGCTTTCTGGCCAGGGCCACTCAGGGTCACAGCCATCTGGCCCCATCTACTGAGCTTACATGGATGGGACCCTGGGACCATGACCCAGGCTGCTTGAGCTTACCATGGCCAGAATGAGATGGAGCAACAGACACTTGACACAATGCAGAATTGGAAACCCAACCCTGGAGGAGAACATGGGGTTTAAGAGTATACGTACATGGGGCCCGCCGAGTGGCGCAATGGTTAAGAACTGGCTTGGGACGCCAGAGGGCCCCGGTTCGGATCCCACAGCCCCTGTGGTAGTGGGTTGCCATGGGCTACTGTGTGTAGCCAGCAGCCAGCGTGAGCGGCCAGCAGCCGCTGTGAGCGGCCATCCAGAAGCCGGCGACTGATGTGCCTCGCCTGAGAAGAGCGCAATGATGGTGCCAACTTGGGCCAGTGAAGCAACGTCCTCCACAACTAGACTGAAGAACAAAACGACAGCAACTTGTCTGTTCCCCTCCCCCCAATTCCCCAGCGCTGTTCCCATCCCCC